TCTCTGCAGGTGTGTGGCTCCGTGTACATTTTAGGGAATGCGGCAGTGCCTCTCTGATATGAGCATGTGGGAGTGTGCGTGTGCGGCTGTCTGTGTCATTGTGTGTGGACTGTGAGTGGGAAGGGGGCTTTGTGCTGCTGGACCCCTCCACTGCGGTGTTGGCCTCTCGTCTGGCTCTAGTGTGTGAGTGGTTTACTGTTGCTCCCCCATTGGGTTGTGTTTGATTGCTGTTGTGATGTGTACTCTCTCTCTCTCTCTCTCTGTGTGTGTGTGTGGTGCCCTCTACCTTGTGTGTTAAATGTGCGTCTCTTTTCTCCTTTTCCTCTTCTTCCTTGTTACCACAGACCCAAGCAACCCACAGTGATAATCATGACAACGATGTTCATCCAACTGCGCCGCGTGGTGTACCTGTTGGTACTTCTGCACTTCTGTACTTGTGTGGCATATGCGCAGAGTGACTCAAGTGTAAGTGGGCATGACTTTAAACAGAAGGTTGAAGAGTTTGAGCTTATGTGGAATGTGTTAAAAGGTTTAATGATTGATGCAGAAGATTCTTCATTGGCTTTGGGTGATGAAATTAATGAATGTGATGTTTATTCTACACTTGCATTAAGAGCCAAGGAGCAATTGGATACCCTCACCGAAGGAGCGAATGCGGAGATGAATCCGATTAACACTTTTACAAATCAAGAGCAGCGGAAGAAGTTTGAAACTGCACTACAAAAAGCCAATGATGTCCTATCTAATGCCCCGTTAGCAGTGAACAAAACAAGAAAGGCGGCCAAAGAATTTAACGAGACGTTAACTGAGAGGGAAAAACTTGCTAACGATATCATCTCCCAGGCTACTGAATTTATGCGTTCTCATGAAACGTTACCTCATTCGTTGCTCCAGACATATTTGGAAGTGGAGAACAAATTTGAGGCCGGCAGAAAAGACGGTAAAGCCGTTCTGTCTTTCGTTACAGTAGAGAAATGGAATGTTGGAAGGGCCTTCGACGCTGCGGAGGAGGCGGAGAAGAACGTAGAATCTCTGGGATTGGCAGTTCAAGCATTCAACGAGTACTTAAAGGAACATGGTATTAACCCTGAAGAAGAAACAACAGATTCACAGCAGAATACTTCAGAGAATGAATCGTCTCCAGGAGGTGTTGACACGACGATTGAGGGGAACAAAAATGAAAGCACAGTTGAAACACCAGAGGAAAATGAGAATTCTCAGAGCAACACTCCTAAGCCCAGTGATTCATCTGCTTCTGGATCCTCGCCATCGCAAGAAGAGGAAACAACTAATTCTCCTTCTTCTTCAGCTCCAAACCATTTGGATAATACACAGTCAAGTGACAGCAGCAGCAGTCCTGCATTGGTGCACAGTCCCTTATTGCTGCTTCTTGTTTCGATGTGTGTGCTGGGCTGCACTGCGGTGTTCTAATGGAAGTTGCTGGTGGATGTGTGCATGGCGACGGTGAATCCCTCTATATTCTTTGCGTGTTTCTTTCTCTGCATGGCCCGTGGGTTGATTGATATTGCAGTGCAGGGACGCACTGACCGTTGATGATTGCTTGACTGGGGTTCATTGAGGTCTATTAGCCTTATAGGCATGTGTGCTTGTTTATTAATTATACTTCTTTGCTGGGGTTCTGTGCGACACCCCTGGCTTATATACTTTTGTTTCCCTTCTGCAGCATTGGCTGTTCCCGTGCACACGTGTGGTGTGCTGCTGTGATGCTGGACTCTTGTGCTGCACCTGCGAGTGTGCGCAGCCATCTGCAGAGCTATTGATATATATGTATATATATACTTTCCTCTCTCTTGTGTGTGCTTGTTTTTTTTGTTGTAATTGAATTCACTGTGTAAGTTTTTTTCTTTTTGTTTTTTGTTTTGTTTGTCTCCCCTTCCCTCACTGTAACTATATTGTTGGGCATTTGACTGCATACTCGTTTGTACTAAATGTACTTATTGGGTGATACAGGCTCCTAAAAATGGAGTGAAATAATTTGTTGTTTTTTCCTTTATATATGTTTGTTTTTATATATACACGGATTTTAATTGTATTGGGGTGTGGTAAGAGACACGTCTGTGTGTCCGTGGAGTGCAGTCACATTGGTGTGGTTTGTTCTGCACCTGATGGGGGAATACTTCTTCTTGTTTTCTTTTCCCTTATTCTCTTTTCTGCTTCCTGTACTGCGCTGCTTTTCCTGTGTGTGTCTGTGTAGATGTTGTGTTTGCACTGCTCTTTGTGTTCTTGTTGTTTCTTTTGTTTCTATTTTTATTATTAGTTGTTGTTGTTGTTTGTCCTGTAGTAGACATGCGGCCCTTATAGCCGGTGAGCCATGCCTCCTCCTCTAATTATCTGTTTATTTATTTCTTTTTCTCTGTTTGTGTGAGTGGCAATGTGATGTGAACCATCGAGGCATTTGTATGACCACAACGTGACTTAGACCTCCGTGCACCAAGCTACCTACCATACGCACGGGACTGACATGCCACACTTCTCCCCCTCACACTATATAACTCCTTTCTTTCCTTCCCTCTATCCACATATACATACAGGCAAACGTGTCACATGTACGGTTCCGTATCCGGTTCATTAAGTAGTGAACCCCTGCTGCCGCAGAAGACTTCTTGAGTGAAGTAGTTGTATATTTTTTTTTCGTAAAATGTGTAAGTTTGCTGTTAATTTTTTTTTTTTTTATTGGATTGTCTTTTTTTATGCTGTTTTTAATATACATATATATTTATTCTTTCCCTTAATCCATTGTATCTTTTCTTTTTCTTTAATAGCCAAGTAGAATGAGTGGTGTCACTGTGAATGCGGCAACCTCATTGGGAGTGGAAGGTCAAACACGATTGGTAATACGTGACATTGATGTTGAAAATTTTAAATCATACGCTGGAAAGCATCGTATTGGACCCTTTCATAAAACTTTTACAGCCGTAATCGGTCCTAATGGTTCAGGTAAATCAAATGTTATTGATGCGATGCTTTTTGTATTTGGTAAGAATGCGAAAAAGATTCGTCTTGAGAAACTTGCCGAACTTATTCATAGTTCTGCAGCACATCCAAATTTGACCTATGCCTCTGTAACGGTAAATTTTGTTCGTTTAATGGAGCCTTCTAATGGACAAAGTGATCCAGATTTTCGACAAGAGATATTGGGTAGTGTGTTATCTATAAAACGTGAGGTATATAAGAGTGGATCATCACAATATTTTATTGGTGGTTTAAAGAAAAGCCAACGTGAAGTGGTAGAAACCCTTATTAAAGAAGGTGTTGATCTTGAACATAATCGTTTTCTTATCTTACAAGGTGAAGTGGAGCAAATTGCTCTTATGAAACCAAAGGCAGAACGTGATGGTGAAGAGGGTCTACTGGAGTATCTGGATGATTTGATTGGTACAAATAACTTTGCAGAGAGAATATCAGAGTGTACAAAGGTAGCAGAGGCAACACAACTTTCTCGACTTGAAGCACTTGATCATGAACGTAAATTACGGGCAGAACGTGAGGCTCTTGATGACGCTAAGAATTCTGCTATTGCTTTCGTAACACGGGATAACCATTTACAGAAGACATTAATTGTGATGTGCCAGTTGCGCATGTTATCTTTAGAAGATAAACTCGCTGAACCGAGACGTATTATTTCTGAAATAGATGAACGTATTGGGAATATGAAAAAAGATGTGGAAATGCGTTTACAGGAAAAATCCAAGACAGATGAAGATCTTTTAAAGCGTAAGAAGGAACTTGCCGAGGTTACAAGAGAGCGAGATGCTGTACGAACAAAAAAGGAAGCAGCAGATGCGGAAGTGGAACGTATTAAATCTGGTGCAGATGAACAAGCAAAGGCAAGAAAAAGAGCACAAGATCAAATTAAAAAAGCTAAAGATGAAATGCAAAAAGCTGAACTTCAACAACAAGATGCAGATCGTGAAGCTATTATTCATCAACAAAATCTTGAGGAAGCTTCACAACGTGTGGAAAAATTACAAAAGGAATATGATACCACTTCAGAAGAACTTACCAATATTTTTAAACCACTTCGTCAAGAATTAGAAAAAAAAAAGGCTGCCTTTGCTCCATATGAAAGAGCTGTAGTAGAAGCGACAGAGCAACTTGACACTGCGCGTAGCCGATTAACATCACTAGATATGACAGGAGAGAAACTTCGTGAACAAATTGAAAAAATTGATAGTGCTTCTATACGTCATAAAGCTCGTACGACAGAACTTGAAGAACTTCTTTGTGATGCAGATAAAGATCGTTATAAGGATGAATTACAACGTTTACAAGACACCCTTACAGGAGCAGCAGAACGTAAACATAGTATTAACAGTGCGATTCAAGAAATTAAGAATACATACCGTGAAGGTGAAGCGGATGATCGTGCCATGGAATTTTTACTCTCTCAGCGTTCACTTAAAGGTTATTATGGTACCCTTCGTCAACTTGGGCGAATTGCTGATACCCATGATATTGCGGCTGGTGTGGCGAGTAATGCTTGGGGTTTCCATGTGGTGGAGGATCGTGCGACGGCGACGGCGGCACTTGAACTCCTGCGCACGAATAATATTGGCCGTGTGACGATGATGGTGCTGAAGGAGATTGAGCGTGAGATGGGCCCCCGCATGGAGGCGGCGTACACCCCGCCGTGCCCCTCCGCGACGCGGTTGTTTGATCTCATCACCCCCACAAACGACCGCTTCCGTGTGGCCTTCTACCAGGCGGTGCGGGACACTCTCGTGGTGGGCGACCTCGCGACGGCGCGGGCGGTGGCGTTTGGGGGCCGCGGCCGCCATCGGGTGGTGACGCTGCGGGGGGAGTTGGTGGAGCCCGGCGGGTCCATCACCGGCGGCGGGCAGACCCCGCGGGGGGCGAGGCTCAAGGCCGCGAGGCCGCCGCAGGACAAGGCCGCCGCCCGCGCCGAGCTGCAGCGACTGCAGGGCGAACTCGTCGCCGCCGCAGAGGAGGAGCGGGTGGCGCAGCAGCAGTTGCATCAACTGCGGCAGAAGCAGCGGCATCTCAGTGGGGAGCAACTGGCAAAACTGCGGTTGGAGCAGCGCACACTGCGGGCCACCATGGAATCGGATGCCCAGAGACGTACCGCCCTCGAGAGGGAATTGGAGGAGAATGCTGCAGGAAGTCAGAGTAGACGGGAAGCACTCATAGAAGATGTGGAGGATGCAGAGAAGCGGTTAAATGCGGCACAGAAGGCACGTATTCAACACCGTAGTGATGTAGAACGATTAGAACAAGAAATTGATGCCGTTGGTGGTCCAGGTTATAAGTCACTTTGCACAGAACTTAAGACACAACAACAACGTTTGGAGGCGGAGGAAAATGCCCTTCGTGAGTGTCGTCGATTATCCCAAAGACTTCGAGCTACTCAGCAACGTAAACAGCGTGATATTACTGAACATGAAGAAGAATTACAACAAATTAATAAAGAGGCAGCTCGAGAAGCGGCAGGGGCACTAGCTACTGCTATCGCTGTGGCGGAAGAATGTATGCGTTTATATAATGGCGCAGAGGCAAAGTTTGCCAAGGCACAATCTGATGTTGAAGCAGCAAAGGCAGCTGTTCCTGTTGCCCATAAAGCGTTAGTTGAAGCACAGAAACTTCTAGATGATGAAGAGCGATTCCGACAGGTCGAATCAGCAAAGATGGCAGATGCTCTACAAGAGTTAGCCAAGTTTGAACAGAAAATTGATGGATGTGAAGAAAAAATAAAAGAAAATGTTGAATTATATGGTATTGAAACATTAGAGTTAAATTCACCAGAGAATAGAGATGCACAACAAGAACAAGAAGAAGAAGAGGGAGGAAAGGAGGAGAAGGAAGAAGAAGAAGAGGAAGAAGAAGAGGAAGAGGAAGAAGGTGGAAATTCCGTTAGAAAGAATGGTACTAAAAAGGAAGGTAATGATGAGAATGAAGAGTCTCCAGGGTCAAGAGAAAGACCAAGTAAAGAGTTACAATCAAAAATTGATATACGCAGCATGTCATTCCGTCTTTCACCAGAAGAATTGGCACGTTGTGACTATGAACGATCTGTACATCTTGCGAAGGCATTAAGTGAAGAGACACGACGATTACATAGTGAAATTGATTTTCGAGCTGTGGCTTTATGGCGTGAACGGGATGCAGCACACCGTAAAGGTCGAGCCCATTATCTTAATTGCAAGGAGGCTGCCGATGTAGCGGAACGTCAATTATTAGAACTAAAGGAAGAACGACGTGATCGATTTATGTCTTGTTTTGTACGAGTACAGCAGCGACTTCGAGAAGTATATCAAATGCTCACTCATGGTGGTGATGCGGATTTGGAACTTGCTGATGCGAATGATCCCTTTGAAGGAATTCACTTTGTTGTTCGTCCTCCAAAGAAATCATGGAAACAAATTTCAAACTTATCTGGTGGAGAGAAAACCCTTTCAAGTCTAGCCCTTATCTTTGCTTTACATGATATTAAACCAACACCTATTTACGTTATGGATGAAATTGATGCTGCTCTAGACTTTCGAAATGTCTCTATTGTGGCGAATTACCTTCTTCGTCAGACAAGTGGGGCACAATTTATTATTATTTCATTACGAAATAATATGTTTGAAATGGCGCATCAGTTGGTCGGTGTTTGTAAAGTAATGGATGTAACCCGTACACTGGTTTTAAGGCCAAAAGGATTCCAACGTGTTGTAGAAGCCGCATTGCTGAAACTGAAACGTGGACGATCATCACAAGAAGACGCTGGGAATGGTAACGTTCGCAATAGTAATGGAAGTAGTAGCAATGGTGTTGATGGTGTTACAGAGGATAGAGAAGAAGAAGAGGGAGAAGGAGAAGAGGTATATCATACACCACGTGAAGTGAGTGTACATAACAGAAATAATAATAATAATAATAATAATAATAATAATAATAATAATAATAATACAGACAGTGGGAACAAAAACAAAGGTGGTAAGAAATCCGTTGCAGGATCGAGAACGGCAAGGGTTAAGAGAGAGCGCCTTGAGTAAATACCTAGTTGTAGAGTCTCCAGTTTTTTTCATAGAACACAAGGGGGTGGTTTCTTTTTTCTTTGTTTATATATATGAGAAACGTATTTAGTTTCTCTTTTTTTTTTCTTTTGTGTGTATTGGTTTGCAATTTTACTCTGTGTATTTTCTTTAGTTAGAGAATTCCTTCCTTACTATTTATAGATATATAGAGTAAGAGGTAAACAAAAAAAGAAAAAAACCCTTCAGTTCTTTATTCCTTTTTTTTCTTCTTTTGTGTGTATGTGTATTTCGTGCTAAATACGCTAATGGATACTGATTTCAAGGCTTCATTACTGTCCTCTTTTTTTTTTTTTCTACTCCGGTGTGATTACAAGAATGCCAAAAAGATTAAAAGATCAGTAAGCACATACACATACAGAGAAGAAAAAGAAAAAGAATCATGGAAGGGATAAGAAAAGAAAAAAAAAAAAACATAACCAATAAGAACATTTTGATTCTTGGTATTGTTACTACTATGCAGTGAAAGAGTGTCTCTGTAGTGTGCATATATCTTATTTATTTATTATTTTTTTTTTCTTTGCTTCTCTGCATGTGAACATGCCTGCACTCTGTGCTAAATCTATTATTAGTTTTCTCTATTAGAGTCCCCTTTACTTTTTTTTTTTTACTATTTCTCTTTTTCATATTCTCACCTTTGTTGCTCTTCTTTTTTTGGTTGTTGTTCTTCGTTTTATTTTACATTACATATAGTAGTAGTAGTGGTTTTTTTTTATTTATTTATCTATCTAGTTATAAATGCTTCTCTATATCCGTGTATGTTTACTTCTTCTTCTTCTATTAGTAGTACTCTTTGCCGATGAGAGTGGAATATCATCACGGGTGCTGGCGAAGGAGTGCAGTGTTAAACAAGGCATGCGGGCTTGGAAACACGATGGTGGAATGTTCTTGCGAGAGGGAACCACATTAATTTGGCATGAAATGGATAAGAAAGGAACCCGCATTGCCGCCTTTACTGAGGAGATGCGGCAGGATGGTCAAGTGATTCTACGAGATGAGAAACGAGATATGCAGATACTCCTGCGGTCTGATCTCTGTGCGATGCGGCACGGCAATCAGGAGGAGTTTCATCAATTGTACGCAGGGCAATTCTTGAAAACAGTGGATTGTACGTGAGGTGGAGTTTTTTTTTAAATGGGAAAAGAAAAGATGAGAGAGAGAAATGAAGAGAGAAGGTTGAGGGTGAAACAGGAATTTGAATTTGTGCGTATTTGAAAACAAAACAAAGCAAAAAAAAAATAAGGATGTTGTTCTTGTTACGGTGAGTAGCAATGATAGATGTGTAATTTCTCTGTTCTTCTTTTCTTTTATTGCGTTTTTCTTTTTTTTTTTTTAAACACCTTGTCATTATATATATTTTTTTCTTTCTTTTGATGTGTAGTGCATTTTCTCTGTTTCTCTTTGTTTATTATTATTGTTATTATTATTATTATTATTATTATTATTATTATTTCTTTATTTTTCTCCCTTTCTTTCCGTGTATGTATGTATGTACATTCAATTACAATCCTGTGGTGTTTGCAGGGAAGGGATTACGAACAAGAAGCCGTGGGACACTAATCGGGAGATCAGTACACCCTCAGTCACAGCAACAGAGAAAAAAGGAAAAAAAGAAGCATCCCCCCAATATTAATAATAAGAAAATTAAAAGAAAGAAAGAAAGAGAGAAAAAAAAAGAAATATCTATACACCGGCAGATACGCGTACGTAAACGCCATCTTTTTCACATATGCGGAGATGCTTTATTAGTCGCCATGGTAGGTTAAAGTTTCCGCTTGGCAAAAGTCATCTTGTCGTTGGACATGATCTTGGCCCATTAATTTCTAGTAATGAGTTATACTATGATCCACCAAAATTACGTCACCGCCTTGATAAGGATGGATACTTATATTTTAAAAATGTTATTCCCCGCACAAGTGTTAATACAGCATTAGATGATTTGGCTAATCAAATGTTAAACTGTGGTTGGACACGTCCAGAAGATAGAGAAGCACAAATGGCTCGTGATGGGGTTTTATTGGGAGTACCTTATCCCTCCACAGGTGAATTGCCACCTCCGCAGATTACATACACAAATTCTCTTCGCACTGCTGTTAGTGGAACTACCGTAATGGCACTCGTTCGTCAAGTCTTTGGTGGAGCGGTGTGTGTATCGGATGTTCAATCACTGCATCTCGCAGCCCCAGATGAGTCCTTTGGACTTCGCATGTCAAGTGTTTATATGAATAAGGGAACAAAACTGGCTCTGGTAGCGCTTGTTCCCTTACATGATATTCCTCTTCACATGGGTACACCAGTGGTGGTAAAAGGAAGTAATTCTACAGACTCATATGCAGCTTTACGAAAAACTTATGGTCAACATGAAGTAGAAAGTGGTAATATTAGAGGTGATGGTTGTTATACACATGATCCACAGGAGTTATTACCATTTGGTAAACAATTGGCTAGTGATGAGGTAACAGGTAGAAGTGTTACCATTGATGTAAACCCATTTCTTACCGTTTCATTTGAAGCAGGAGATGTCTTACTCATGACTGTGTATACTATGCATAGTTTCTTAACAAACAACAGTAATTATTGGCGTATAATGGCAGAGGCTGTTTGGACAATGGAAGGAGATGATGTTGGGCCTGATCCACGGTATGTGGGTACAAATGCGGCTGGATTAAGTGGATGGTACGCTGATCGTGATGATCCAGTGAAATACCCACGAACAATGAATGAGGCAAAGAAAGATTGGGGACTTTTACCGGATATTCCACGTGAGTAATCTGCTATGAATGAAAAGAGGGAAAGAAGAAAAAAGAAAAAGATAACTGTGGAGAGTGTGAGGTGGAAAAAGAGAGTGAATAAAGGAAAACAATTAAAAAAAAAGTTATGAATATATTCCTAAGAGAGGATTTTTATAAAGATGCAGAAACACAGTAGTAAAAAGCATCATAATATTTTATTCTTGATGATGTTTTTTTTTTTTTTTCTTTTTGTTTCTCTGTTTTATGTTTACTCTCTATCTCTCTCTTTTGGATCCTTTCATACTTTTTCTTTGCTCTGTGTTTGTGTGTTTGTGTGTGTGTGGTGATTGTATTCGTTTTCATAGACCTGTTTGTGAAATGGGTTGATTGAATGAATGATAGGATAAGTGAGTAAGTAAGTAAGTGCTTGAAAATGCAAGAAGAAAGCTACTTGGCGAGACATAACTCATTATTTGTGTTTACATCTTTTTTTTATATTTTGTATTTGTGATAATTTTATGTTTAGAATTATATTAAAATATTATTCCTATCTGTGTACCCCTTTTCTGTGGGTTTTGGTGTATATATATTGTGTTGGTGATTTTCTCTTTTTTCCCTTCTTCCTTTTTTAAATGTATCTGGGGTGTAATGGAACGGTAGTAAATATCAAAGAAAAAGAGATAGATTGATAGATAGATAGAGGGGAGAGAGAGAGAGAGAGAAAGAAAAGAGTGCATAATATTTTTAAACGGGGTGTGGGAAAGTTTGCGTTTCTCTGTTTGGTACGGTTTCTTTTTTTTTTCCTTTTAGTTAATTTGTGTGTTGTCATTTGCCGTCAGATTCACTCTAATGTATCGTCGTCAACGTCATGTAGGTCGTTTCCCTACATTGTCCACTGTTGTGGCCTCTCGTTTCTTCTTTGGTAAAAGCGGCAAGTCTCCTCTTGACACTAACAACAATAACGGCAGTAGCAGCAGCGGCACTAGCACTAATAATAATAATAATAATAATAATAATAATAATAATAATAATAATAATAATAATAATAATAATAATAATAATAATAAGGGAAAGGAAAACACTGGTGGTTTTCCAGGAATGTTCCCTGGTGGTGCTGGTGGTTTACCTACTGGATTTGATATGCAAAAACTACGTGCGATGCAAGATATGATTAGTAGTCAACCACCTGAAAAACAGATGGAAATGATTAAGAAAGCTTTAGAATTTCAAAAAACATTAGGTAAGATTCCGGGAATTGGTAAACTTGCTCAGAAAAATATTGATGTGATGGAGCAACTTTTAAAAACTACAGAGAATCTACAACAACAACAACAACAACAACAAGGATCATCAAAAACATCAGACTCTAATAGTACATCCAATCCTTTAAGTGGAAAGAAAACAAGTTTGGGAAGTGTATTTTCAAATTCTTTTGCAGCCGCGGCCGCCGCTGCCTCTGCTGCTACCCCAAGTAATAGTAGTAGTAGTGGTACTGCTTCTGCAAAAAGTAGTTCAGGTCCTACTATTGATGAATTGAAAAAGATTAATTTGGGAACTGAAATTGAGGCACTCTTTGCAGAACTGCGTAGTATGCGTATGAAGAAGAACTCCTACCGTGATAAACTCCTTGCGAAGGAGGAGGAACTTGAAAAGACTCAAAAAACTCTCCAACAAGTGCAAGAAACAGAGGCAAGTCTCCGATCAAAACTACGGAAAGTGGAACAAGATGTCCTCTTGCTGAACTCAGAGAATATGGAATTGCGTGAACATGAGAAGGAATGGAGACAAGTACGGCAGAAGAATGAGGAACTCGTAGGTACGGTTCAGCGACTGCAGCACAGTGATGCCGCCCAAGATCGGCAACGCAGTGATGTATTACAACAACAATTACAATTTAAAGAGGATGCCCTACGATCTATGCAACGTAAACTAGAAAGATTACGCCGACGTGATCCGTTATTGCAATTCTCTCGAATCTGCAATGATGTGGCCCGTGTATGTGGTGAGGGTGATTACAATGATGAGGCCTTCACAGCACTACAGACAGCATATGAACAGCAACAAGAACATGCATGGCAAACCGCCGCAGAAGAGAATGGCGCCGCAGCTCGTGCGTACGCCGCGGTGGTGCGCCGTTTCTTTTTAACGCGAGTCCCTCACGCAATGTATGATGCGGTGGTGGCCATAGACGGTGATGTGGAGGCACTACGTAAAATGTTAACAGCCGTTGGATTACAATTGCAGGAATTGCAATCCCAACAAGATGGTCGTTATGTCATTACGGCCCCTCCTAATACAACTGTGTCTAAATCTTTTCTCGGGCCTTATGCTATCAGTGTGGCACTCTATCTTGCCGGGAAGATATCAACTCTCTCAACACCAAAAGGAACTACTACTACTACTGGTGGAGTAGATATATCTTTTATGCCATTTAGAGTAACACTTGCGTATCCACATGTAAGTACGACATTATTCAGTAACCCGCAACGTGCTACTGTGCAGTATGAGACGGCCCGTTCAAGTGGTCCCGGTGGACAAGCAGCGAATGTTGCCGAGACTCAAATTACTGCTAAATTGTTAATTGATGGTGAAATGGCGTACGTGGCGGAGTCGCAGGATTCACGTAGTGCACTAAACAATCGAGAGGCGGCTACAGAGAAATTGGGTAAAGTGCGACGACAGCAGTATAATGAAAATTTAGCAAAACAGGAACGAGTGGAGGTGGTGGAGCGAGAACTTGTCAATATTATAAATGATCACACAAAGAATAATTACTTTACTAGTAATAATAACAAGAGCGGCAATAGTGAAGGTGCTGCTGGTGCTGGTGGTGATGTAGCACCTGCAATGGTGGTTAACTTGGCACGTGCTGCATTTGAAAAGGGATCTATTACACAAGTGGATTTTGCACTTGTGTGCGGTATGTATCAACTAAATCAAATGGCTTCTGCTGCTGAAACGGAATCCGTACGCGCCGTACCTTCCTCATGATAAACTAACGACGTGTCCAATCTCTTTTTTTTCTTTTTTTTGGTTCTCTCTTGCAATCAAGGTAATGTAGACGTACACCCAAATAAAAAAAAAACATTTCTCTCTTTTTCTCACTCTTTTTGTTTTCTTCTTTCTGGTAATGTTTTTTCCTTTTTCTTTTAATGACGGGGTACTACATTTACGTCAATATAGTGAAAAGAAGAAGAAAAAGAAAAGGAATACCTTACAGGAAGTAGAGGAAGTGTAAGATTGGGGAAAGATGATAAAAAAAGAGATGAGAATAAACTGTCTGCGGTGTTGTCAGGTAAAAATGGTTGTTTTTGAGAAATCTACTTATGTTGTAAGAAAAACGTTCTAGCTTTTTTCTCTCTCTCTCTCTCTCTCTCTATTCCTGTATATATCATTTTCTCCATTACTGTCTGTGTGTGCTCTATTTTTATTTTATTCTTTTCTATCTATCTCTTTCTCTTTTATTGTATTGTAATCTTTCTCCTACTGTCAGCTATGTATTATTGTCATCAGTGTCACAGCTTCTATGCTGTGCGTGACGGATCCCAAGATGTTGTGGAGTGTGTGGCGTGCCACTCGCCCCTTGTAGAGGCCGTCCGCAGTGCCGCCCACCGTGAGGAGCTGCAGCGGCTGATGGAGCAGCAGCAGCGGGCGGAGGAGGAACAGGCGCAGCAGCGGCTCCTCCGCCAGTTGCGGCTCCTCGACGGCATTGAGCTGCAGGTCCACGGCGCCGGGCCGCAGTGGCATCTCGTCCATCTTTTCCTCCCGAGCGGCCCCGACGGCCCCGGCGGCCCCCCCGTCGACGAGTTGATGCGCTCCTTCCGCCGCTTCCCACACGGACTGCGGGAGGCCGACCGCGCGGCCCACCCCGAGGCCTTTTTAGAGTCCGCCTGCCTCATCTGTCTGGAGCCCCTGCAGGACCCAGCAGAGGGAGAGAGAGAAGGAGAGAGAGAAACCGGAGGGGAGGAAAGGGGAACCAATAACACCACAACCACAACTACTACTACTACTACCACAAGTACAAGTACGGAAACTTCTTCTGAGGGACAGCCTGTGGTCATGCTACCCTGTAAACATTGTTATCACGCAGAGTGTATCAGAACTTGGTTGCAGCAGAGTCGACAATGTCCATTGTGTCGTGCTTCTGTACTGCCACAAGAGAATGTGAGTAATGCCGCTTCTTCTTCTGATATCCCCCCTTCTTCTACACCGCCTGCACACAGCGGCGAACCCAACAATTGAAATGAAATTATTACCACCACTAAAAACGTGGATTTTATTATTACTATTATTACGATTACTATTATTATCATTTATTTAATGTCTCGTATTCGTATATTTCTGTCGTTGGTTTGTTATCTTTGCGTGTCATCATTTTTTTTTTTTTTTTTATATTGTTGGTACCACAAAATAAAACAAAAGGAATAAAGATTAGACATTTGTTTTATTATTGTTGACCAAGGATAAACGCACGAAAAAAAAAAAATGAATAAAGGATATAAAAAAGAAAACAAAGGGGCATAGTAAATCAAAGAATATGGAGATGGAAAAAATGTTTTCCTATAAAAGAATAGTGAAAAAAAGAGTATGTGTAATCTATCTATTGCAGTTTTTTGATTCCCCCTCTTATCTTTATATTATTCTCTTTTTTTTTTTTTTTACCTTTTCCTCTATCTTTGGAACTTTTTCTCTCTTTTTCACCTTCTTCACTTTTTCTTGTATTCCCTTACACAAGAAATAATAATAATAATAATAATAATAATACGCACCTCATACATACTTTATTATTTCTTTTTTTTTTCCTCTTTTTTTTTCTCTTTCTCTACCTTTCCAATTATTTCTCTCAGTGCGCATTTTGCATTTAAATAAGAAAAGAAAAGGATATACGTAAGCACAGAAGGTCAAAACCAATACTCAACGACACCAAAAAAAAAAAAAAAAATAGTAACGTTGCCTTTTATTCAGTAAGTATAACAAAAAAAAATTAAATCCACATGCAAAACGATACAAAGATGTACGGTGGCGTTGTTGTGCGCTTAGCCGATCGTATGCTGCTCTGCAAAGCCCCTGGATATCCAACTCAGGATATCTCTATTCCTAGCACAGCATGGGCAGAGTTGGTGTCAAAATGCTCCGTGCCGAATTTTCGCGGTTCCGCATTTATTACAGTGGATAATAACAGTAACAGTGAGGCTTCGGCTCTCAGTACGGCAATGGATGGACCACCGCAACTCTCATATCATATTTTGTCGGATAATGAACTTGCCTTTGCTCTTTTGGGTGGAAAAGATGTCTCCCGGCGACAAGGACATGCCGCATTGGATGAAGTAGCTAAAACATTCCGTAAGATGTTTGTGGAAAATGTGTCCAAGTTAAATCCAAAGTCAGTTGATGTATTTGTAAAACCATACCGTGATGTAATGCTGCGTATGAGTGAGTCTGGGGACTCGGAGGATAAAGTAAAACGTGTAAAGAAGGCCGTTGAGGAAGTAAAGGATCTTGCACTAGATAATGTGGAACGAGTCATTCAACGTGGTCAACGCATTGATGATATTGTGCAGACCACAGAAGATCTACAATTTCAAGCACAAGGGTTTCAACGTAGCAGCCGCGATCTGCGTCAACAGCTTTGGTGGAACTCTGTAAGGGGAAAATTGATCTTTGGCGGAGTAGCTTTATTCTTTATTATGGTTGTTTTTTTCGTCTTTTTCTCAGGAGGAAAGGATAACAGTAACACCAAGTAGTATCAGATAGTAACTATGGATGAGAGGTTTGACAATAGTGGAATGGAGAAGAAGAAGAAGAAAAAGAAGGAAAACAAAAGAAGAAAAGAAAAAGGGGGGCAGAGGAAAGAAAGAAGAAAACAAAAAAAAAAGAGGACGTAGCAGCAAGAAGAAATAACAAGAACAAGAAAGTAAATACTAGGGTTACTTGGGGAGGAATGTTTGGAATATGCAATTGAGAAAGTGAAAGCATCTACAATGTAAAGAAGCAGAAAGGAAGATGCTTACAAAACATACATGAGGGGTTTTCTTTCCCCTATATATAAATTGCTTCCTTGGAAATGAAAAATAAAAAGAAAAGAAAGGAAATAAAGAGACAACTATTTCCTACGCTTTGATTTGCATGTAAGAGATGCTGTGGGGTAATTTTATTTCCTCTGCACCCCATTCTTCTTTTGTTCTTTTGTTCTTTACTTTGGTTTTTTTTGTTTGTTTACCTTTTTTTTTGTATTTGAGTTTTCCTCCTTTCATATCAATTGAGTGCTTTCTTTTTATTGTGTCTGCGATTTTCCCTCGTTACTATTTATCTGTGCTCGTGCTTGTCTACACGCAGTCTTTTCTCTCTCACTCTTTCTTTCTTTCTTTGTGTGTATACATGTACCCTTTTTTTTCTCCCCCATTTCTGTTTATTTTCCCTTCTCCCTTATTTTTTTTTCAATTTGTTTCTTTTTCTTTTTCTTTTTTCTTCTTCTGAATTTCTTCCTCTTTCTTTAAAGCCTATTGTTCTCACCCAGGAAAATAGATAAATAACTAAACCACTGCTGGTCTTTACACACACACTCTCTCTCTTTTTCTCACCCTCCCATCTACTTGAGCGGAGGATTACTTGTGTACATTAGAGAGATGCGCCGCGTCCATCCGGCAATTGCGGAGTTGCAGCGACGGAACCGCGCCGCCGGCCGTCGACTCTCACCAATAGATGAAAATCGACAAAACCGACACACTCACCCACACAGTGATACCAACAATACTACTAATACTAATACTAATACAAACAATAATAATAATAATAATAATACTAATAATAACAGAAATATCCGGCGTATATCGCCACAAACGCAGGGACGCCGGACGTCCTCCGCCAGTGCTGTACACGCAGCGAGTGTGCGTTCCCAGCCGAAGTGTGCTGAAAATCGCCCAAATATGCCATCGCGGTTTACTTCAACTGCCCCAGCAGGCGGCGTTAATGATAATAACCGTATGAAGAGAGATGAAAGCCGTGGTAGGAATATTAACGGTACTAACCGTATAGCACCGAGACCACCAATGCGGCATTTACCTACAAAGCCCAGATCTTCTATCTACACTATGGCAGATCATAAAATTCCAAATTCTGATGATAATCTTATTCCATCAGGGAATAGTAATCCCTCAGGTGAACCACAAGTAACTCCAGCTGATTCAGTAACAAACCCTACAAGAAATGCAGAGAAATTTGAAGCTGTACCAAATTCAAGAATATTTAATGATTCTTATTCTGTAGCAAGTAACTCACGTACTAGACTTGGTTTTGCCAAAAATTCTAGTTTTAGCAGTAGAAGTGGTATGTCTCGTGTACACTATGCTTTAGATAATGATGATAATGAAGAAGATGAAATGAAATCTATTACAGAATGTGCAGATCCTGATAACTGGAATCATTTATTACCAGATCCTGTTGTGGATTTACTCGATGGTGAAAAATTAGAGAATCCCTTTACTACTGATCTCTGGGCAAATGCACAAGATGCTGAAAAACTAAAAATTTCTGGTTATTACGCTTGTATTCGTTGTCATGTTCCTGTGGTATCACCGACTTATCAAGTAAATTATCCTGTACGTGGAATGGCAGCATTTGCAAGATTTAATAAAGAAGCTTTGGCGGTACATGTGGCGTATATATCCACAGCCGCTACATTTGGAGCGTTAAAGCATGATTCATTGGAATTACATATGCGATGTGTATGTTGTAAAGGGTTTTTAGGTATTCTTGCCCCTAATTTCGATTTAGATTTACCAGGGGATCTAGCTCATGTATTTGTTGTAAATAGTTCTTGTCTTCGTTTTGTTAAAGGTGGACGAACACGATGTCATTTGGATGGAATTTACGATATTAAAGATGATTCAGATGATGGGGTTAAAACGGAAACTTCGAGTAAAGGTGCGGATATGGATTTTGATGATCTCGATATATTTGATTTATCACCAACAAGTAATCGATAGTGAGAAAAAAAAAGGAGCGAAAAAAAAAAATGTTTTTTTTTTTTTTCTTAATTTTCTTTTTTCTTTTTCCGTTTACGGGGGGAATGAGATTTGTAGAATAGAGTACAAGCAACAATGTGGATCTTTATCATTATTATTATTTATTCTAATACCAATTTGGTTGCATGTATCTACTAATTCTAAGTTTGCTCCTTTTTATGTTTTTTGTTTTTTTGTTTTTTACCGCCGTGCTTGTGTGGGTTGCATATCTATGTTATCTACTCTTTTCCCCATCTACACAAGAATGGCTTCACACCTTCTGGGAAAAAAGTGGAAAGAGAGGGTTTGCGATATAAATAAATATATATATTCATATATATGCATATATATATATATATATGAATATTAGCTACAGTCACTGTTTGTGGGTGTGTGATGATACTGAAAAAGAAGAAAATAAATTTTCATATGTAGCAATATGGGCAACTACCTCTACTGTGATGAAATCACAACCACTAGCGTCCTACAAGGATTATAAATAGAAAGAAGAAGAAGAAAAAAAAAAAGATTTTTTTTAACGCATGATGATTCTGTTTTTTTTTTTTTTTTCCTTTACCCTCTTATCTCATGCATTTTTATGGAAGTTTAATTACTCATTATTGAACAGTTTACTATGCTTCTGTAAAGTTCAGAATACTTTCAAAAAACGAAAAAAAAAAAAAAAAACAGACTCCTGCGTAGTACAAAACAAAAATTTCCTTGTTATTATACTGTCATTCAGTTATGATGTAATGTTTAGTGGTATTTCCCACTAATTGCTGAAACACACCCCACCAAAAAAAAAAAGGTCATGCTTATTTATTGTTAGTTATTATTTTTTATGTTAAGGATCTTTCTTTTTTATTCTTTCTTTTTTTTTTTTTGACTTTTTAACGTTTAAATAATAATAAATTAATTACCTCACGTATTTATATATATATATATATATATATATATATATATATATAGTGGTTCACAAGGGTCGGCCCGTTTGTTTATTTTTCCTCTTTTTTTTTTTATTTTTCTGGGAGGGATCTAATTCTTGATAATGCGCAACGGAGGCCACACCAACGATCCAGTCGTGGATGAATGTGTGAATGGCGGGGACGACAGTTCGACTGCCTCTGCATATCCGTGGGATGGTCTTTGCAATCGTATTCTCGCAGCGTATAAGGAAGGAGAAGATATCTCTGTTTTGCAGCTATTTGAAGAACTCCAGATGATGCCAGAACTTGATGTTCTCATCCATACAAAACAGTCTGCTACCGCAACAGAGTTATCAGAAGAAAAATTAAATTTGATGAAAGATTATAGTAACAACTCCGATTCCGCTGCTTTGGAGAAGGTGGAATTTTGTTGGGGACGTGCCCTCCTCGCGGCGAAGCGTGTTGCCCACGATGATGATGAACATATTGTTTCTATTGTGGAGAACTTTGAGCAACGCTTTGAGCGTCCGTCTGATTATCTGCGTTGCCTGGCGATCACCGCCGATGGGGCATTAGAAGTTCTGCAAATTCATCAACTCGTGGAGGGTCGTGTTTCTGCAGAGGCCGTTACGGCTGCATTACATAAATTCCCTTTACGTGATGCCGCAGAGACACGAGATCTGCTGGAGTTTATGCGAGTCAATGGTGTTCATCTCACTCGTAGTATAGCCGAACAATTGGAGAAGCATTTTGTTAAACGTATGAAGACAGAGGATCCAGAGGATGTGTTCTGTGAAATGCGAGAAGCTGGAGTAAAGCCAATGTCAACACGACCGTATAATTTTCTTTTTATGAAGAAAACACCATTTAAGCAGAGAGATTTACTTGGATATTATGAAGATATGCTAGACCGTGGTATTACCCCAGAAAACTCCACCTTCCGTATTCTCAGTAAACAAACACAACATGATGGATTTGCCAATCAGCACTTTAGTGCCCTCGCTTGGGGCAACACCGCCCCACAACAACAAAGACGTCGGGATGAGGCCGAACGCGGTGGAACACAAGTTTTCTTCGCTACACGTCTGGAAGAATTGGCACGCACTTCACCAGATACATCACTGGATACTGCATTGCAAGTACTTCGCCGTATGGATGTGGAAGGAACACAATTAACAAATGGATCTCCTATTCTTGGTTCACTATTACTGTACTTTTGTCATCCCACGCAGCCAGAGGATACAGAACGTGTACTACAACTCGCACAGGATCGAGGTTGTCATCCCAATAGTGCCACGGTGCAAAAGTTATTAAGAGATACCAGCACCACTCGCTTTGAGCAGGCAGAGATTGTATTACAAAAGGTGGTAGAGGCGGGAGAGACATTACAGGTGGATTGTGTGGATTTACTACGATACTTTGTGATGAATAATAAACGCAGTAAAGCGGTACGGGTCTTTCGTGCTTTTGTAGTTCACCGGTATCGACATTCTAATGAACAAATTCCCTTTGCTATTGCTTCTATGGCAATGAAACTTGGTCCTTTTAATTGGGCATTGGGTGTGTTATCTATTTTGTTGGCATCTGTTGATAAACCACTCGGTAGAGGTGTTCAATCACGAATGCGTTCTGCTGCACATGATGTTCGTAGTCGAGATATTATAGAAGTTTTTAATCGTTGTGATTGGAAACGTGAACGTCTTCTTTTGGCAGATGAACTACAAGAACGACCTTTTAATGGTAGTAGTAACACCACCTCTACCGAAAATAACAACAATAGTTCCAACAACAACAATAACAATATCAACAATGTTAATGGCGGTGATTCTGCATATACGGGATCTAAGAGCCATAATCGATTAGATGGTGGACCAACGTGGATAAGTGCTATGCATATAGCATTAAAGGAGATGAATGTAGATCCAAAAGTGATGGAAGCATATAAAGCAATTCTAACAGATGCGATAGAAAAGGCGAGGAGGCATCAAGGTCACAGTGGAGAACATGGTAGTGGTAGTGGTGGTGGTGGTGGTGTAAGTTTAAACTCTGGTCACTCTAGGGGGAAGTAAAAAGAAAGAGAATGAAGACGACATTTACACCATCAGAAAGGCCACAGTAGAAAGAGAAGAAGAAAAAAAGAGAGAGAAAGAGAAAGAGAGATTGAGGGTGGTAAGGTTGAAGTTGTGCTGCTGATGTTAGTGCTTGTGTGTCTCTTTTTCTTCTTATTAATGTTGTTTTTTTTTTTTTTTATTTCTGTTTTTCGTTTTTTAAAGGGTTTTGGGGGTGTGGGGAAGGGGGATGCTGGGGAAAAAAAAAAGAAAAGGTGCACTTTTTCTTTCACCATCATGTTGATTTTCCACTTGGTGGAAAACATCTGCTGAAAGGATAAGTAAAAGAAAAAAAAGAAAAGAGGGGAAAGGAAAATGAAAATGGCGCCGTTGTGAAATGTCCGATCTGGATAAAACTGCAGAGGACAGTTTAAAGGAAAAGAATAAAAAAAAGGAAGAAAAGTACGAAAATAAAAAAACAAAGAAAAGGTGTATGGGATTCTTTGTTTAGTTTGTTTTTTGTTTTTGTTTTCGTAAAAAAAAATGGAGAGTGCCCGTGTAATGCCTCTTCACTCCCTCACGAATTTTATATGGACTTAAACGATGTTATTCTTTGGAATAGCAAAGGGCTGAGGGATTGTGTGCTTTTATCTATGTGTGTCTATATATATATATATATATATGTCTGACACCTTGAGAGACGATGAGAAGAGAAGGGGGAGAGGGAAAAAAAAAAACGTCTTTTTGAGGAAATTATTTTTGTCATCTCGATGTGTCGAATCTCCCACATTTATAGATTGCACGCGCAAGGAAGGTGTGTGTATGTGATTTTGTACGTCTATTTTTCTGTACGTTACTGTACATTTATTTATTTGTTTGTTTTTTTTTGTTCTTGTAAAGAATACATATATGTACGTAAATGTATGAATATATATATTTTTTTCTTTTTGTTTTCATATCTAATCTTTATTGAAAATTGTACAACAATATATATATATATATATATATATATATATATATATATATATATATATATATATATATATATATATATATAAAGGGGACTTGGTGGAGTAAAGAGTAAAAATCATTCCACTAAATCTAAGAAGTATAATAATAGCAATAATAATAATAACAATACATCAATAATACAGTTATCCTTTACCAAGTAAGGGTAAAATGATAGGTCCTAAAGATGTCTACCGCCGAGAATGCGAGGCTCTTGATATTATACCAAATAGTGGATTGCTCCGTATGTTACCAGATACCACTGTACAGATAGAAGGTGTAAGCGTGATGCACTTTGGACGTAATTATCTTGGTGATCGTGGCATTCTTCCGCTACTCGAGGTGATTATACAAGCCAAATCTCTACATACACTCAATCTACGTGATAACGGAATAGGAAATGATGGTGTTCGGGCACTTTGTCGTGCATTGCGTCATCATCCTTCTTTACGGGTATTAGAATTAAGTGGTAACCCTTTTACCTATTTGGCAGCCCGACAGTTAGTTCATTTATGTGAAGATAGTGATACGATTACCTTTATTGGAATGGAGAATACACTTATGACAGAGCCGCTTAGAGTAAGCATTTTACATCGTCTGGAAAAAGCTTTGAAACATCGTGAAGATAGGAGATTTGTATCTACTGCACGAGAAATTTATGCTAATAGTCCTGCTATTGCTGGTCTTAATACATCTGCTGTGGGTCCAGCTGTTAATTCTTCTTCTTTTGGTAGTGCTACTTCAACACCAATAGCAGCATCACATGTTACTCCTATTATCGCAGAGGATGAAAGTGTGATACGCAAGTTATCTGGTTTAGCCGCGGTTGATCCTGCTTCATTGTTTCCCCAACGAAACTCCCGTAATAATTTTTTATCTGGTGAAATGAAGGGTGAAAATTCACTTACACAAAATGAAAAAAGTGGAGCAAACTCAATACATTCTTTACAACGTCCACCACTTGCTACTCCACCTTCGCAAGAGCTAAAAACCGCCGTTCCTGAATGGTTTGATATGGATGACGACAGCGATGGGGCAGATAATGTAGAAGTGGAAATAGATCAAGTATATGAAGATGAGCCAATGGATGATCCAGTGTCTCAGTTACAAGAGGATATGGGATCAGTTACTGAACCATTATCTACTACAGTAAAAGAAGAAACTGTACGCTCGTGTGGGGATTCATCTGTTGCTTTGCCTCCTCTAGGGGAGGAGAGATGTACGGATTCTGTACCAGATGCTGATACTTTAAAACCATCTTCGGTTGTTAATGATCCTGCAATGGATTGGTATAACGAGGGTGAAGAAGGAGAGAAGAAGCAGGAAGAGCAGATGAATAAATCAGAGAAAAAGGATTTTCTTGATCTTCTCTTTGGTGACGATGGCAATTGAGAATTATATGTAGTTTATGTATAAATGTATATTTACGGAGTTGGAATGATGACCTTTTTTTTTCTCTCTTTTCTTTCTTTTGTTTTTTGTTTGTTTGTTTTTTGTTCTTTTTTTTAAATTGGAATTTTACCTTGGTATAGGTGGACCCTAAAACCAGCAATTGAAGAAAATGTTAAAAAGAGAGCGAGGAAGGGGAGAAGTTGATATTCTAATGCAGGGTATTTGTGCATAATTGTCTCTTGTTGTTCTCTGTACTTCTAATTATTTATTTATTTCTTATTCTTTTTTTTTCTTCCTTTTTTAACTTGTGTGGGTTGGTGTCTATTTTTATTTTAACATTCTGCGGGTTCTCTAATACGTGTTCACACAGGAAGCCGGGAATATTATATCCCCATATTATTCAAAAAGAAAAACAAAAAAAAAAAGGAAAGTATTGGTGTGTACTTTTCGTTTAAGAGCACGCCTGTGGCATTATTATTATTATTATTATTATTATTATTATTATTATTATTATTATTATTATTATTTATCCCTGTTACGCTTGCTGACGGTATTTGTGTGATTACGCGATGGTAAACTTCACGGACGATGCGATTGCGTACATGCGTGAGCACAACGTGGCGTTCATCATGGAGCACATTCTGCGCAACATCCTCCGCGATCTCCCACCGGACCCCGCGGCGTACATCCACGACTTGATGGAGCGGCCGATCCCCCCGCAAATTCTCCTCGCGGGTCCCCCCGGCAGCGGCCGGCGGTCGCAGTGCCGCGCCCTCGCCGAGCACTTCGGGGTCGTCCACGTCTCCTCCGGGGAGCTGCTGCGGGCGGAGGTGGAGGCGGGCTCCGAGGCGGGCATCTTGGCCGAGTCGTTCCTCCGCGCCGGCACGCTGGTCCCCAACGCCCTCATCACCGGGATGATTCGCCGGCGACTGGAGGAAAAGGACGCCAAAACACGCGGTTGGATCTTGGACGGATTTCCACGATCGCAGGAACAGGCAGAGGCGATGGAGGCAGAGGGCATCGCCCCACATGTCTGTATCATGCTAGATTTACCAGATGATATCGCCTATGAGCGTATCGAGCACAGACGCACAGATCCCGCCACTGGACTCACTTATCATCTACTTTACAATCCACCACCAAAGGATGACGTGGCGCTCTGTGAGAGACTCACACAGGATGAGAATGACCGGCGAGAGGTGGTGCAGCGGCGACTCAAGGTATACCGAAACACCGCAGAAGGATTACTGCGTCACTATGGGGCGATACTCGAACGCGTGGACGCCTCACATGATATTGACGATGTCACAAAGGACGTAATCGCAGCTGTGCAAAAACACTTGTTGCAGTAGGTCTCTCAGAAAAGGAAAAAAAAAAATAGGAAAGAGGAGGATATAAGGATAATGTTATTCCTACATATATGTACTCTTTTCTGTGGTAGTGGTGGTGATTATTGCATTTTGTAGAGACAGGTGATTTGGTGTTTTTTTTTTAATTTTGTGTTTATGGTTACTTTTCTTATTGCTTTCATTCACACTGAAGAAGTCACACAACCGAGGAAGTGCGCAAGCATTTTTTTTTTCTGTGTAAAGACGGTTAAGGAGTGCCTTTATCGGTATTTTTGCCGAACGTCTTTCTTGCTCTCTTCCTCTTTTTTTTTTTTTTTATGGTTACTTTCAGATTCCTGATTGAATTTTTTACTTTGAATATTTTGTACTGGGCGTTCAAGCAAAAAAAAAAAAAATCGTATTGTGTCTCTGTAGTAACAGAAAAGAGAAGAGTTGTAAAGATAGAAAGAATGTGTGCGTATTCCATCATGTATAGGGAAACAATTTGGAAAAAATGTTATTTGTCATTTTTTCCTTCAATAATGGGAGGTTGCGGCCACCCCTTTTTTCTTGTTTTTTCTCTTTTGTATATGTGTGTGTGTGTGTCGCATTCCTTCTGATGTTTATGATCTTTTTATTTGAAAAACAGACATTCCATATAAATATTTCTCTATATTTATGTATGCGACTGTTATGTTAATGTACAGATTATCTGTTCTTTGGAAGAAAAAAAAAAAAAGCAAAAAAAAAAAAAAAGATCCCTTCCTATAGGAGCTTTTCCCATCTGGACTACTGTAGACATTTCTAGTTCTTTGTTTCTGTTTATACACTATTGTGAACATCTTTTTCTGTTTGAAACTTCTTTACTGCGGTACATCACTTTCAAGAAAATAAAAAAAAAGAAAGGAAGTAGAACCAATCAATTTAATAATTGAATACAAGAAGAGAAAATCATTTACTTTATTAAACGATAGAAAGGATTACACAACACGCAAAAAAAAAAAAAGAACTATGCATTCCGGATTTTCTTCTCACAAAAATGAAGAATCTCTTCTCTGTTCGAACAAGGACTCACAGGATACCAATAGGCATCAAGGTTATCCAACCACTAAATGTACGGAAGGAACAAATGTGAACGAAACTCTTATTCCAGCAGCGCCTTTAGACAACGAAGAATGTATGCAGTTTAATACTATTAATAGGCATAACGACGAAAACTGTACGAAAAACAAGGAGCAACAAAGAAACGTAAATCCGAAACAACCAGAACAAGATTCATCTGACCTTAACAACAATAAAGAACTACATATGAGAGAGAATCAACAAAAGGAATTTCCCAAAAAACAAGATATCATTCAAAAACTAGCTCAGGTGCAGGAGGAGTACGATGCACTGAGGACCTATGTGAATGAGGGTTTGAAGCCATTAATATCGCGGCTAAAGCGAATGAATGCCGAAAAGGACCTGGACCTGCATGCAAGTGCCAAGCTTATTAGCGAACTGCAGCAGGCACAGCATCCACCATGCAGTTCTTCTGCGTTGGCAGACACGGATGATGTGGTCGGCCAACTTGCTCAGGTGCAGGAGGAGTACGATGCACTCAAAACCTATGTGAATGAAGGTATGAAGCCATTAATATCGCGGCTAAAGCGAATGAATGCCGAAAAGGACCTGGACCTGCGTGCAAGTGCCAAGCTTATTAGCGAACTGCAGCCTTACAAAGGCGAGGTTTAGCATGAATTCTGATGTTTTTTTTTTTTTAAGGTGTTGTTTGTTAAAATGTTTTTTCTATTTGTCATTATTTTTTTTTTTTATTTTTATGCCATTTTTGGCTGTCAGCGCCATGTCTACTTTGCTTTTACAGATTTATTTTTTATATGCAAGCGAAAATGAAAAAAAAATCTTCTCTTCTCTTTATTATTCTGGTCCTTTACCCCGTGCATGGTATGATGGAGCTAAGGAGTGGAGTTCAATTATTTTTACTCCGTGTATTTCAATATTCATACCTCTTTTATTTTCTCTCTCTTGCCGAGTTGCTTTTTTTTTTTTTTGCTCATGTATTCTCAATGACTTTTTATCTTCACTTGTTTCCTTTTTTTTTTTTCTATTCTTCTATTTTTTTTTTTTTTATTTCAGCTGATTCTCTAGGAACCCTCAGCACGTCTGTTTTCTTACACTATTTGCTTCACCACTGGGAGGATAGGGCTTTGGTGGAAGCAGCTGCATCTAGAGACGCACATTCTTCTTTTTTTTTTTTTTTTTTTTTTTTTTTTTGTACCTCCGACACCTGTGCTCTAATAATCGAACAAACATACCAAACAATAACCACAAAAATAATATAAAGAAAAACAAAGATTTTCATACCTTGTGAAATCAAACGGTAGAAGAGATGTCACAACTGCAGAGTCAACGATCACCCTCACTGGCGGGTCGAGCACCGTCAACATCTTTACGCTCTCTCTCAACAGAGCGTCAACGCTATGATGAGACACTCGCAATGTATGCTATTAGCGGTACCGCCCGGGCAATGGAGTATGATGGGGAACGACGTGTATGGACAGCAGAGGCTGATGGACACCTTATTGTTCGCGCCCCTCCTCGTGGTGAAATACTTTTTGAGGTGAAGGCACGAGAAGGTGCTTTTTGTACCGTATTACGGTCTGTTTCAGCGAAACGAATGTGGGCAGCTTTTTCAGATGGATTTATTTGTTGTTATAGTACTTCAAATGGATCAATGGAACGTGAATTCGTACAACATGATGGCGCCGTACTTTGCATGGCATGTTCTAAAAAAAGTGATTATGTGTATAGTGGAGGAGAAGATTGGAAAGTTTATCAGTGGTCCAAGTCTTCATGTACGTACGTCCGACTTTTTTCTGGGCACACGAATTCTGTTAGATGTGTACTTGTAGTAACTGCTTCTAATGATCCTTTATCCATATCTTCTGAGGAAAAATCACCTCAGCAAGTGCAGGGTGATGATGAAAAAGACGTAGACGACGCTGAAGGTGATGAGTCAGGCTTTGACGAATATGTTCTCTCTGGTAGTGATGATTCAACTATTAGGATATGGAACCCTAGAGCACCGCTACAAATTGAAAAAAATGTGGCATGTGTAGCAACACTACGCGGTCATCAAAACTCTGTACGTACATTAGAAATATATCCTCGCACCAAAGAATTGTGGTCAGGAGGTGATGATTGCACAGTTCGTGTCTGGGAATGGCGTAATAAAGATGAACGCGGTTGTGTTGCCGTCTTAGAAGGTCAACATACCGCTCCTGTTACCGCTATTGTACATGTAGCCCCACGTATGTGGAGTAGTGGGAAAGATGGTAATGTTGTTGTTTGGGATGCACGTGAGCATACACCTGTGCGTCGCTTTCAACCTGGTGTACGTCCTATATTCTCCATGTTACGTCTATACCGTTCAACTCACTGGACGGTGTGGGTGGGTGGACCAGAGGGTGTTATTCACGCTGTGCACGCTGTTGGAGAAGATCATGATGTTGATGTAAAACTTCAACGCTATGAGCGTCGCTTTAGGCAGGGCAAGAATAAGTATGATAGACTGCAAGAAAAGGCATGGAATCAGCAAGAGCACATGAATAAACTTGAAAAACGTAATAGAATACTTGAAGAAAATCTACAACTTCTTAACGAACAACAAGAAAAAGATTATGGGGTTGAAAGCACTATGACTCCTGAAAAACACAAAACGCTATTGGATAATCGATTAGTAGAAATAAATAATTTAAAGGCAACTGTAGCGCGTCTAGAAGCTCAGCGAAAGGCTAGCGAAAACGCTCTTAATAAGGCAACATCTCTAAGCAGGGAGAAGGACAAAACTATTGCAAGACTAACTAACGAGCTTTCCGAGAAGGAACACGAGATACAACAAATGGAAAGGCAACTTGAAATGTTAATGACGCGTCAGGGTTCAGTTAACACAGAAAATGAAACTGAACTTGCCTATAAGGAGCTTTTACTACAGGAAGCTCGTGAAACTATTACTCGTAAAAACAGCGCATTTGATGCATACAGAGAAGAAGTAGAAAAACAACAGCTCATGGATAAGATAGAACGTGATACGCTGCGACGTCAACTTCTAGAAGCTGAAAACTATAAAGAGTTGTATGAGGCAAAAGATGATGCTTTGCGTGAAGCTTTTGAACAGTTGGATGAACTACAACGTAAACTTGAAGGTGAACAATTGTATGTAAACGAACTTTTGCATGAATTAGCACAACATTCGCAGAAACAGTCTAGCCCATCTCGTGATCAAACCCCATATAAAAGCAACAGTAACACTTATACACCAACTAAAGAACAATCACAAAGAAACAATTTTTACAAACGACTACCGGGCACACAATGGGCAAAAGTTTGCAACACTCACCCAGAAGTACTACAAGACACTCTCATCGCAGAAATAACAGAAGTCGTCGCTAGTACTACAGCTGTTGTTACAGAATTAACTTACGCATCATCAAATAACTGTCTCTTGCTTGAAGTTGCATTAGAACACAACCAAACTGAAGAAAGACATTTACAAAAAGTTATCAACAGCTACCACTTCCCACAAACAATCACTCTACACAATAGTTTAACAAAACATTCTCCTGAAAAATCTAATCAGTTAGGTCAACATCAATCCGAACAAGAAACAATCCTGCTTGAAGAAAAGAAAAAAATAAAATCAGAACGCGACGAAGCACTGGAACAGCTCAAAGAGGCAGTCAAAGAACTGGAAGAACTACATAGTGCACAGCAAAAGGCTGAAGAAGAGCGAGCGAGGATTGCGCCACTCTCAGCGCACTCCAAGAGTCCACAACCGCGCACGGGAAGTGGATTCTCACAGAGAGGCTCTGCATCCCATGACCCCGCCCAGGCACCCCTGTACAGCATCACTGCCCAGGAGTATGAAAGTGTCGTTGCCGAGAAGAAGAAGGCGGAAACAGAGAGGGATG